AAAAAAAAAAAAACACAACACAAAAAAATTACACCAAAAAACAAACAAAAAAAAAACAGAAGAAAAAAAATTACTCCGAAAAACAGAAAAAAAACCCCACAGAAAACAGAAAAATAAAAAATTACTAAAAAAAAAAAAAAAAAAAATTACTCAGAAAAACAGTTTTTTTTAATTTGTCAAGTGAATGCAATACACTTCAGTAAGATGGTGATTAAAATTAAAAAAATAAATGAATAAAACAGAACATTTAACAACAGTTCTCTGTTCCTCCTCTGTGATTAAAACATGATGTGTCCCAGCTCCTGCTCTGCGCCACCTCCTCCTCTCATTAGTAATGAACAGTCCCTTAGCATGTGTTACCATAAGGTTAGCACACTGAGCTAGCATGCTAACAGCTAGTGAACAAGGGGGGGCTAACGTTCAGAAGCTAACAGTGTTACCTGACACTGACACATGAAAGATGCATGACAGCAACATGTTCACTGTGTGTCTGCGCTGCGGGCTCGAGCTCATGCTAACGGTGCGTTTACAGCACATTAGCTAACGTTAGTAGCGACACACAGAGGGGAGGCGTTAGCATCTCTGTCAGCTGTAACATGCTAGGCAGAAATAACACATATGGAAACATCACAGAGCTACACACACAGCGCATTGACCGCCGTTAAAACCGTTAATATAACCGTTACTCTGAAGCTGGGGATTAACGTTACTGATGAGGGGGAGACCCTGCTTCCATTATCGGTCACCGTACAAACCCGACTACGGCGAGCTAATTCCGCCAACATGACTAAAAATAGAAGATGTATTATGAGTAGATTAAATGTTAACAACGTGAGATGCGCGTTAACAGTGATGGTGAGGGTGTGTGGGGGCTTGGCTGTGAGGAGAAGGGCAGAGATAGTGCGACAGACGGCTCACTGTCCGATAATGGGCGCATCTAACGTAATGGTGCATTTGCGTGTCGTTAAGCTAGCTAGCTAGCGGGCTGAGCAAGTTTACCGGACACATCTACGAATAACAACAACAGTAACGGTAATAACACGGTAGCTGCGGACTCACCGGGTCTCTGTGAGGGCAGCAGCCGGGCCGGCGGTGTCTTCCTCCCGGTACCGTGCAGGACAAGCTCGTGAGACAAACAAACGGTCACACCGGAGCGGTTGTTGACGCAGACCGGAGCAGGTTACTCCAACTGACGGGAGGGGCGTTTAGGGACAACTGGGAAACTAGAGCATCAGCGTTACCTTATTGTGATGCGTTTATGCAGGCAGATTAAACAGTGATATGAAGTGAAGCCACAAAATTATGATGAATAAAATATTAAATAATCTCCAGATGAAGTCATTAACACAGGACAACAGTACATGTTTGATTATATCAGAAAATAAAAAATAAGACAGACTATTAACATTAAAATTGGATGTGAAAATAAACAGGAAAAATACACAAATATTATATTAAATCTCCAAACTATTGTTCCACATCAGAACAAGAGTGCAGAGTGTGTGTGTTAGATGACTGTCTCTCTTTCAAGCCACATGTTGAACTACTTGTGAAAAGGCAGAAGATTAAACTGGATTTAATTTTAGAAATAGAAACTTCTTCTCTCTCTTGGCCCAAAATAATCAGACTAGTCTCTGCACCATGACTGTGTGTGACATTTTTTTGTTGGTATTCTCTTGTTTTAGATATTTTTGACCTACATTCAGCATATTTATAGGTGTAAATTAAGCAAAAGTTGAAAATGGCTCTGCTCTCTGTTCACAGAACATGTTCATATTGTCTGTACTGAGCAAACAAACAGAGTTTGGCCAACAAGCATTTACCGTTAAACTTCTATTAGTAGCCCCGGGCTATTATTTGATTAAATCCCTGAACTCAACAGGCCTATATTTGGGACAGGCCTTTATTTGTCAAAATGTGTAGCCACACCGGGCTGGTAAAAAGGACTGGGTGTATAATAGAAGTTTAATGGTATAGTTCATTAGTTAGTTAGTTAGTTAGTTAGTTAGTTTCTTTTATTCCTGTGTCATGCACCTAAAAGTGCCCAACCCTCATGGGTTTATAAAAGAGACACTATAAGAGACAGTTGCAGCGTTCACAGATAATTCATAACAATTCAGTTAATTTCAAAATAACCAAAAAAGAAACAAACATACTATTCATTCTTGAACAAAATATTCTGTCTTCTTGCAAACAAAATCTGCATCCAAAAAGGTTCCCTTCCTGAAACATAGTTCAAGCTTTTCATAATCATCCATCGACCAAAAGAAATAAACATAGAAGGAAGACATTCTACGTAATAATAATACTTCATTCTCAATTTCCCCTAATTCACACAATAAACAAAGTCTGTCCTCTTGTGGACAGTTACTAACCCTACCAGTCTCTAGAGCTACAGGTAACGTCTATATGTAGCTTCTTATCTGTGGAATCTTCTGCAGAGTTTCCCTCACTGCTTCCTCTCGGTTGTATCAAAGCACTGCTGCATGAATTTTGTGTGTCCTCATCTACATGCCACTGTCTATTTTTCAATTCACTTCAGTTCAGTTTTATTTATAAAGCCCAATATCACAAATCACAATTTGCCTCACAGGGCTTTACAGCATACGACATCCCTCTGTCCTTATGACCCTCACAGCTGATCAGGAAAAACTCCCCAAAAAAACCCTTTAACCTCAGGAAGAGCAAGTGAGGAGGACAGACGTGCAATAGATGTCGTACAGAACAGATCAACATGATAAATGTACATGTAACTGGTCTCTTTAGTGTGTTTGTAGTTGCCTCTGTGTTTCTTGTTTTGAGGGTTCAGCTGTAGCAGGGGTCGGTGACCTGCGGCTCCGGGGCCACATGTGACTCTTTGGCCCCACTCAGGCGGCTCCCTGTGACTTTAAACAATTATATGGAAATTAATAACATTATCTTTAAAGATTTAATTTTCATTCATCACTGCTGTAGACCGAAAGAAATGTTTTAACATTTCACCAGCTAAGTTGTGCTTCGTCGCTCCACAGCCTGCTGCCTTTTCCTGCATTTTGCCAAACTAGAATAACAATGGTTAATCTTGAGTCTCTTTCGCTGAGTTCACTGAGACTTCCAAATATAAAGAAAGGGGGGAAAAAAGTGAGAATGTAATATTGTGTGGACAGATTTATTTGGTTTCATCATCAACGCTGCAAAGTTAAAGAACCAAATAATCATAAAAGCCTTCAGAGCGACCAGGTGGTGTTAAAACATATTAATGAACGCTTATTTAGACCTTTGGTTAATTTAGACTGAACAGACTGTGTTTGTTTGTTTTTTGCAGCTCCAGGTTTTTTATTTATTTATTTATTTACTTTTATTTTTTGTTTTGGCCAAAAATGGATCTTTTGACAGTAAAGATGGTAGAGCTCTGATTTATAGCATATATTAATTAATCATGTTGTGTTTTACATTGTTTGTTTTGGAGCTGCATATTTTTGATTTTGTATTTTTGTTTTAATGACATCTGTCTGGGCCCAGAGTCTCCTGGAAAAGAGTTTTTTGTGGTTGAATAAAGGTTTATTCAAACACTGTATCACAGACCACAGCCTGTGTGGAGTGATGATGTTTCATGCTGCAGCCAGCAGGGGGCGCTCAGGACAAACAAATCATCAGTGTGACGTCACATTCAGAGGAGGCTGTACTGAATATCTGCAAACGTGTTTAATAAGTTTTTCTGATAACTAATTATGTGCACTTGTTCCTCACTTTGTCTCATTAGCACTGATCTTAATTATACAATTTAATTATACAAATCTGAGGTACTTTTAATTAGCCTACTTTTATAAATCAGGCCTGAGATAATAGTTTGAATAAAGTTATGTTGTCTTGCTGATTAAACTGTTTTCTGGTGATGTAGACAGAGGTGGAAAGAATGTTCACATCCTGTATTAAAGGATGAAAACCTCACAGTATAAATATTCTGTCATCAGTGAAACTTCTGGATTTAGGTACAGAAGTGTCATCAGAAAAATAGACTTCATGTATCAACAGTAAATTCTCTTATCCAGCAGCAGAATCACTGAATCTACACCTGTGGCTCAAACCACAATAAAACACCACCATTTGTTGGTGGACTTTATTTGGTATCAATAATCTAAATTCCTAAAGTAACTTTAGTTATTAAATAAATGTAGCGAAGTAATGTAGTCCTTAATTTCCCTCAGGATTAAAAAATATCTATCTATCTATCTCTCTATCTCTCTCTCTCTCTCTCTCTCTCTCTAAATGTCCCACTGCTCCTGAACGCATCCCAGTGAAACTCATAACTTTCCACTGTGTCACTGTCACCACCTGCAACACACCTGAATGAAAACACACACACACACACACACACACACGCCCTCCTGCCGGCTGTGGGCGGAGCCTCCTCGCGGTTTTAAGAGGTGCGTAATGCGCCGCCGTGGAGTCGTTACGCACACGGAGCAGCAGCAGCAGCAGCGGGACTCTTGTGGAGAGGAGCAATTATTCACTACAGAGCTTTCAAAGATAAAAACTGACGATGCGAGTGTGTGATGACTGATGTGAGGAGCTGCTCGGTGAGTCTCTGACTAAATATACTTTACATTTACTCACATTTGTCTCAGGTGTGAAGTGAATATGATGGTTTCTACTTTAAATCATGGACAAGTCACTTTATTATGTCTGTGACGGTCAGCTGTGATATATTCATGTCACATGTCATGTGAACAGATATAGGCCTAAATATTGATACACACAGTGCAGTAAAAGCAGCTGGATGTTTGGATGGACTGTTCATATTTGTGAGAAGAATGTTCAGAGCTCACAGTGGGTTTATTTTCAGTATATTAAAGTAGAAATATGTGGTGCATTCTTAAATATTATGTCACATGTTCCACACTGCTGTAAACAGGAGTGTAAATATAAAAAGTGCCACACTGGGGCCCCTGGAAGGTGAGGGGCCCTCCAACTATCTGTCAGGGAGAATCATTTAAATCGCCACCTTAGAAATCTGTGTTCACAGAAAAACTCACATGTAATTAAAAACAATGCTGCGTGCTTTATATGACTCTCCATCTCCATCATGTTTTGGGAGAATATCCAGCAGCAATCTCTAATAAAATATGTTATGAAATATTAAATATACATTCACTCTACATAAACTATAATAAGGTATAAAAACGTTAAAGTTAAACAAATAATAACCACCTCACGCATCTGACTGTGAATATGCAGCCTTCAAACATGTGTCAATAAATCAGACCTGATGAATTTAAATTAAAATCAACATGTTTCCTAACAAACAGGATGTGATGTCACTGTTGCAGTTTAAGTGTCACGTTCACATCACTTCAAACTTTAACAAGGAACTTTTTATTCCTCTGAAGTTTTTTTATCGGAGCAGCATCACGGAGGAATGTGTCAGCTAAAAAACGTTGACTGGTTTCGGCTCCGGGAGCCAGTTTAACTGCTTCCTGTTCCAGGTGAACTGGTCCTTCAGGTGTGTCTCAGAGTTTACAGCAGGGGCGGAAAGTAACTGAGTACATTTACTCATGTTCAGGTATTTGTAGGTGTTTCCATTTTAGGTTACTTTATACTCCACCATGTCTTTTACTACTTTTACAGATATCTCCTTACAGATTTTACACTTGAAGAGCTGATAAAATAAAAAGTGTAGTTGAGCTTCTCGTTGAGTTTCAGGGTTTCTACCACAGAGACGTTTCCTCTAAACTTCTCATTTTAATAACTGTTTGACACCAAAACAGGTAAAACTCCACCTTATTTCAAAATAATGAATCATGTGACGATCCCTCAAATTTATCTGGTGACCCCGTGGAGGGGCCTGACCCTCAGGTTGGGAACCGCTAACTGTATTTAAATTAGTTCAGACGAGCTCCACCGCAGCAGCTGCAGAGGACATCATGACTACTTTATACTGCAGTTGGATTTTTAATGCAGGTTGTTATGGAGTATTGTCACAGTGTTGTACTTTAACTCATGTAAATGATATGAATACTTCATTTTTTGGTGGTTATGACATCACACAGCTTCCTGTCGTTACGCTCTGACCTTGACTGACCGATTGACTCTCAGCTGACGTGGTCTTGACGTGTCGTCTCTCCTCTGTGTCTCCAGACTCTGGTTGAAAAGAAGATTACAAGATTCTTTGCAGCGAGACATGATGTGATTCTAGTTTGCTGCCCAGGAACTCTGTGAGATGTCCTGATGACCTCTGACCCTCGCACCATGGACCTCCGTCTGCACGCCAACCCTCAGCACCAATACAGGGTCAACGGGGGCGCAGGTCGAAGCTCCAGGCCGGGAGTGAGTATCTGAAAACCACTCAAGTTAAATCACGTGACTGGAGTTTGTCTCAGAGTTTAAATAAAACATTTTCCATCTGCTCAGATCTTTGCACTTTACATCCTTTCAGCTCCGCTACGACCTGATCCACACAGACAGGCAGAAAATAAAATGTCATAATAATGAACAGACCATATAAAAATGACATTAAACCTGCATGTAGGCTGAATTAAAATCAGTCCAGGTCATCTCAGCTGTCTGTTAGATGTGAGGCTGCAGTCTGAGGCCAGTTAGCTTAGCTTAGCTTAGCTTAGCTTAGCTTAAAGACTAGAAACACTTCCCTGCACCGGATGTCAAAGTGAGGTCAGAAAGACGTTGGACTCTTACATCAGACAGATGTTCAGCATTGGTTGGAATGAAAATCAAGTTGACGACATTTTAAATGTCTAATGATGTTAAAAATTTTATGTTATGTTGACGTTAACATTGTGACATTTTGCAGATGTTGGTTTTTGTTCTTCGGCGTACGACTAAATTCCCGTATTCTACGTGGTCAAGATGACGTTTACACGTTTGGTAGACATTAAATAACTCAACCTAAAACCAACAAAATCTCAGCGTCACTTGTCGTCAGAGTTCTACGTCAAACTACGTCAAAGTTGGCATCAGTTGTTGTTCTGATGTTGAATTTTGGTCCGCCGACTTCACAACCGAAATTCAACCAAATATTAACGTCTGAAGATGCTGGGAGCCATCTTGTTGTCACCATGGGGTTGCTAGGCAACCAGCAAAGACTACCAGAAGATTCTGGAGCCATGTGCACGAAACACCTTAAATTTTCTCCTTAAGTATGACACTTGAGGCTCAATTTTTCCTTAGCTGAGGGACTTACTTAAGGGTGTTGCACAGAATCCCTTAAAAGGTTGAGAAATATGTTAGTGCACTGAAAGAGATTTTATCGTGGAAAACTACAACCGTTTCCATGGTAACCAAGCTTAAAGCTTGTGACACGGTTTAACTAACTTTAAGGGATTTCTCAAGTATGAGATAAGGAGAAAAGTTTGAATACTTAAGTGAAGATTTTAAGGAAACCTGAAGGAGACGTTGTGTTTTGTGCGACAGATTTTACTTTAAGAAAGCCCTAACCTGGACTTTAAGTAAAACCTTAATTTAAGGTGTTTTGTGCAGCCAGCCCCTGGCATGTAACCCCCCGAAAAAAACCAAAACAAGCTTCTACATTTTGGTTTTTATACGTATTAAACAAACAAAATACGTAGATTTAGTTTCCTTTAGACAGAGCTAGGCTAGCTGTTTCCATCTGTTTCCAGTCTTTATGCTAAGCTAAGCTAACTGGCTGCAGCTTCATATGTAACGTGAAGCTATGAGAGTGGGATCAGTCTTTTCATCTGACCTTCAGCTCATAAACAAATGATCATATTCCCCAGAACACTGAACTATTCCTACAAGTGTCTTCAGATGATAATAAGTAGAGCACATGAGGCTGATTAAAGGTCCATCACTGTGGACGCAGGTCTGTGTAATCACACCCTGTCGTCCTGTGAACTGGAGCACTGAGCTGTCTTCTTCTATTGTCTCCTTAAACACAGTAAACAAACCGAGCGCATCAGATGAACAGCTGATTATTCCTGCTGCACTTCACCCTGACAGAGGCTCCGTGCTCTGTTGACACAAAGCACCCAGTCATGACAGACGCTGAGAAATTACACCTGCCTAACAACTTAATCCCTTCGCATGCCTTGGGGATGACATTCATTATCAACGCACAACACAACCAGACCGGTCGAGCTGCAGTTTTCTAGGTCCTGAGCTGCTTCGTCACAATAGGCATCATTGAGCAGCTGAAACCAGCGCGGCCGTGTTTATCTCTGATTGGTTTCAGTTGGGTGTTGCTGCAGGTGTCTTTGTGCGTGCGTGTGTCTCTGCGTGGAAAGCAAAAACAAGGCTCTTGGGTATAACCTTGTAACACTGATGTCAGCAACAAGCCCTGTTTGTCATGTCAACCGCCAGCTGAAGGCTGAAGGTCATCACCTTGAAATAGACCAAATAAGCAGCTTCCTTCGCTCCGGTGGCTTCAAGTAATTGTAGTAAAACACAGTCTGAGATCAAAACACTTTACTGTCAAAGTCTCTGCTGTGTCAGAGATAATACTGTACGTGATTTCATCTTTGCCTTCACAAAATGTTTCTGAATAGTTGGTTTACACAGGAAGTATTTTTGCAGGTTGGAAAACACGAGACACGCTGCACTGCCTTTTTTAAATAAAATTGAATGCCACTCGTAAAAAAAACACTTGCTGCACCTTTTTATTGTTGCCAGGCAACCACCCCATCACCTCCTCACGCTAACCTCCCTGTGTAATCAATCTACTGTTTGTTTATCCTGCAGTGATCAGTTGAGGCAGAGGGTGCTGTCTGTAGCTCTGGTTGAGGGTGAGAGGCTGTCAGCAGATAAACAGAGATCTGTGTGGGTACATGAGACCCTAAAAAAGAGGCTGGATCATGGGGAGTACCACCAGTTGGTCCAGGAGCTTCTCCTCCATCATGGACGCTTACAGGCAGATTTTAGGACGACTCAGGGTCAAGATAATGTTTGCACGTTTGGAAGACATTGAATTTTCATAACGCAATAACTCAAGTTAAAACCAACAGAATCTCAACATCACTTGTCGTCAGAGTTCTACGTCAAACTGACGTCAAATCGCATTAATCGTTGTCCTGATATTGAATTTTGGTCCGCCAACTCAACAATCTGAATCCAACCAAATATTAACATCTAAAGATGCTGGGGGCTATGTTGTTGTCACGTCATTGGGTTGCTAGGCAACCAGCAAAGACTACCGGAAGATTCTTGAGCCATGTGCACAAACCACCTCAAGTTTTCTCCTTAAGTATGACACTTAAGACTTACTTAAGGGTGTTGCACAGAATCCCTAAAAAGGTTGAGAAAAAATGTTAAGGCATTTAGTGCATTGAAAGAGATTTTACCGTGGTGAAATACTCCCGTTTCCATGGTAACCAAGCTCAAAGCTTGTGATGCTGCACTATCAGCACGTGTCAGAAGGCCTGGACCTCAATCCATCCCGTCGGACAATGGGAAAAAAGATGACGAAAAAATGGAGATGACGTGGGGCGTTTTTCCGCCATGAGTTGAAGTTTTTTCAATTCGAGGAGTTCAGTGCACTCTGGCAAAAACGCCAGGCGCCCAGAGCTCAGAAACACAAGGCGCATAGCAGCACAAGAACAGCGAGCAAAAAGCTTCATTCTCATTAAAACTATTATAAAGAGGCGCCTCCAGCTGCTGAAACACTTCCTGTGTGACCAGGGCCACCTTTAGATGGCCGGTACGTGTTCAGTAGTAGTCCCATTGATGTTTTGGCTGCTTGATGTATTTACAGCTGTCAGGACAAATCTTGTATCTGTAGCTGCCAACTTATAAAAAGTAACGTTGTCTGTAGAGTTGACAACATAATCTTAAATCACAGCTCATTGAAAGAAGCTTCTCTGGAGCTTTTCTTTATTCCTAATGAGTGATGGAGTAACGGAGGAGGTGGGAAGATACAGAAAAGGCCAGAATGTGGAACTTTTCTTTGCGGCTCTAAATAACTTAAGTGCTCTGTTGATTAGACATTGTTACAGGAGATTATCTGCTCCCTGCAGCCATGTGGTTTGGCTTAAATGAGTGGAGTCGATCTTTATCAGGACTGAAAGAAAACCCTCAAAGGGAAGCAGAGAAATCAATAGTCACTGAGCATGGTCACTGGATCGTCTATTGTGTTGTATTCAGTGGCAGCACTGTGTGGAGCTGGACAGGTAGCTGTGGAGGTGAAGCACAGATGGGGGGAGGAGAGGGGCAAGTGAGCTAAATTTAGGGTGGGAAAGAAGTTTGGAGGGTTGGGACGCAGGAACAAACAGGCCTGTGTTCGGTCTGTACACATGACTACTGTATGAGAGAGTCACAGCAGATGGTTTCAACACGGCGTTCAGTGATGACGAGAAAAGTCAGGAGGAATCTGCTGCTGCCTTATTCACACAGTACATTCAGCTACCTGCCTTTAACAGAGTAGTGTCTGATCATCAGTCTGTTTCCATGATGACAGAGAAAACAGATTTATATAAATCCCTGTGAACATGTCAGTGTGAGTGAAATGGTCCTGCAGTGAATGTGTCACAGTGGGACTAACACACCCAGATCATGTGACTCCTGCATGTATACAGTCAATCAGACCCAAACTGGCCGAGGCGCTCTGAGCATGCTCCACAGTTTCCGCCCCGGGCTTTGACCCTGAAGTCCAATAGCATTAAATGTGTAAGAGAAGAAGAAGCCGGTAACAACATGGAGAAATCTACATCCAGAGCCGTGACTTTTTGGACGTACCAAATGTACAGAGCTGTAAAGTTGTCCACCATGGTAGCAGTTAGCTGCTAGCTAACCGTAGCTAACTTGTTTGTCCATTGTTTGGTCTGTGACGTAATAGGTCAACAGGAAAAAGGTCCAATACTAACAAGCTGAAAGGGGGCATATCTCCACCTATCGTAGAGGAGTCGCACATACTTGGCTCAATAAATGGATTCCCCTCCCGTGCTTGTATACTGGGACAAGGACAGTAGGCCAGTTAGATGTCCTCGTCCAGCTGGGACTGTAGCTCCACTTCACTGTGACTAAATTACCGTAGTTATTAAACAGGGCTGTAGTGTAGGCTAATGTAACGTAGGCTAACATAAACAGCTCTGTCCAGAAGTTAGCTTTAGCCTCAGTCTAATCTACAATGATTCATAAGTAACATGACTGATCGATGACCTGTACATTAAGGAACTGAAAACAACCTGAGACCTTGACGAAAGCAAGACAGTAAAAAAGTTTTTTTTTTTAAAAAAAATTAAATCCCAGCATGTAAACTAATGTCCTGTGTCCCTTTACTTTGACAGGAAGATGAAGCGCTGCAGTTTCTGAGCCAGGAGGAGCAGGAGTGCATTCAGTTCTTCGAGAAGACCATCGACTCATTGGAGGACAGTCTGGAGGAGAACGACCGGAGGCCCAGGCAGATGAGGCCCCCAGTGAGCAGCACCCCACCTGTTGAAAAAGTCGATGGACCCCCGACCTCGAGTCCGATCATGTCCTCTCCGCTTGCCAGACCTCCCAGTCCCAAAGACCAGGATATTATATACCTGGTCCGCCCAGAACCGGACTTGGTGCAGACCAAAGAGCCGATCTTCAGTCCCACCAGTCCAGGTAGGGTACAGCGATTTGTTCTTGAATGCAGGGGCGTAGTCAGGATTCTGGAAATACTTCAGATTACGAAGTCCTGGAAGAGATTGAAGCTTTTAGTCTTTCCCAGATTTACAATTTGCAATTTGTTTCTCTTAGATTTTCAGAGTATGGTGCAGAATCCTGAAAGCCACTTCGACATGAAGCCAAGGCGTGATCCAGTGGACAACTTGCCTTCAGAGTACAATGCTCCCCTACCAAACTTTGGGCCAACAGACAGCCACTCCCCCTACCACCCTCCAGGCTGTATCCCCACCCCCGTCCTGATTGCACAGCAGATAGCAGAGAACCATGCAGGTGGAACGTCTACCCTCCATTCCTCCGCATTGCTCCGCCGTTGCAGCCTGGACTCCGACAAGCCACTGAGCTTCAACGACCCTCACGCTAAACAGGGTCCTCCTATGTCTGCTAAGCCTACCCGCTTTCCTGCTAACATCAGCGTGATCCTCGGCGGCAAGGAGCACCAGAACCAGTCACTACCTAATGTGAACATCGAGGAGAGACGGGCACAGATGCTGGCAAACCTTACAGGAACATCACACCCTCTGGTGCAGGAAAATTTCCAGCCAGCTGTGGTGGACAAGCCTCGAAATATTCCCACTCGCAGCATTTCCTTCAAGGACCCATCACCAGACAAATCCAGGATGGAGGCCCTGTCTAAGCTGGGCCTGACCAGAAACCGAGCCATGTCTGGGGGTATGTCACTCCTCACTGTCCCTGACAGCACCTTGCCGGATCCTCCCACAGATCCAGAAACCAGTGCCAAACCTCTGGAGGCCAGTGTTCCCCCACCAACAGAAACCAGCACCAAATTGCCAGAAGTTAATGTCCCGACACCACGTCAGAGTCAGATTCACGTTGACAGAAAACCAGAGATTCTGCAGACAGATTCCTTCAGGAAGTATGAAGATAGAAACCAGCACCTGAGTCCCTCGCCTCCAGCAGTCACACAAAGCAGCTTCTATCCACCTCCTTTGGAAACCAAGCGATCTTTCTCTCCTCCGCCTGAGATCACCTCGCTGGAATCTAACAGCTATGGAGGGAAATCTATCGTGATCAACCCTTCGGTTTCCTCCAGGAACGAACCTCCAACCTCTCCAACAAGCCCTGAACCCAAAACCCTCCCACCTGTGCTGGCTAACCCCAGCGAGTTCAACCCCTATGGAGGAAAATCTAAGGTCATGACCCCTGCTCCTGTACCCATTGCCAGGAGCCACCTTCCCGACATCCTCAGCTCCCATATTGACAAGAGTCAAACCTTGCCCGCCAAATCAGAGCCGCCACCCCCTGAGCTTAACAGTTATGGAGGAAAGAGCCGAACATTTAACCCTTCCGCTGGGTTAAATCGCTCCTCAGACAGCCCTGCTAGGAGTTTCAAAGCTCCAGCTCCGACCCCGGCCCCAAAACCTCCTCGGCACTCCTACCACGGCGCTACCCAGAAACCAGCACTGCGAGCCTTATCCCCCGAACTCAAGCGGAGACCCGCCTCCATGTTTCGTCCACAAGGCATCACCGTGCAGTTTTCTGGACGGGGCGCGACGGACGAATCACGTAGGGATGCGCTAAGGAAACTGGGGCTCCTGAAAGAGTCTTGATGAACTCTGGAATGAATTCTTCAGTCTCCACCCGTCGAGCCTGAATCTCTGGTGTGTACCTGCTGGTCGAGGTGGAATGTCAGAAGTTTCCCTATGTGTGTCTGAGAGAAAGGTGTGGTTAGAGAGACATTTAACATAGGAATGGAGCCAGAATCTACGATGGACCTGCATAGCCAGTTCTCACTTCCTGGCCATAAATATACTGACAGACGAGTGTGACACGGTGCAGCTGCTGCACACTCAACACTGTGTCAGTGACAGAAGTCTTGACAAATCAACTGTTTCATGTTGCCTCTGATGTGAGACATCGTATACCTCTGCACAAGATACTCTGGAACAAACTGTAAAGAGAAGCATCCGGGAATCAAATAACTTTTGGTTTCACCTTTGTTTGCAACAAATGAGGCTGATTGTGAAAAGCCATATTTATAAAACTGGGCTCCGTTTCCTTAAAACATATTTAAGACAAAGGTTAGAGATGTTTTATATTTTTGTTATTGTTAGCAAATCCAAAAAATACTCAGCCCCGACCCCACTGGTTCCTACTGAAGACTAGTCTTTAAAAACTCCTTAAACATCAACAAATTCTCAAACAACAGTTGGTATGATATCCTATGAATCTGTGTCCCAGCAAGGTCGTTACATCCTTAACGTATACGTAGGTAATAAAAATAAAGTTACAGTGTTCAGGATTAGGAAAAGAAACATGGTCTGGACGTACCTTAATGATGTTCTGAACACCGGTCTCCTGGGGACAGTCCTGTGTCTTGTTTACCCATCCACCACCTCAACCCGCTTCCTTAACAGACCACTCGGGAACCGTTCCTCCCGTCAGCACATTGGTCACGTCATCACAGTGGTCCTAAATATGTAGGTTTTGCACGAATGCCGGCTCATCTTTAAGTTGAATATGAACAAATCTGGTGCATTAGCTTTCGTATGAAAACGTATGACAGCCTGCACAGACAGCTCAGTAACTTCAGCTTATAGATACGGACGAAATGGAGCAGAATCACTGCAGATCGTGGAGGCAGTGTGGCGTAGTTCAAGCGAGAGGCGACCGTAGGAGACGGCTAAGACATTTACAAAAAGGCAGAACGGAAAGAATCAGTAATATAGTAAAAACAATTCTCCGTCCACACACTGTGGTGTAGTTAATGGTGTAAAACACCAACGCCATTTACAACACTGCATCCGTTAAAAGTTATATAATTAGGTCGCCGTGTCACTTTATTTATTGTTGTGTGAAACTTTTTTCAATGCCATCTGTTGGCTGTATCTATGTCAACATAAACGATGCATGGGGATGTTTACATTTGAAACAGACGGATCCATTTTCATACATTGAGTGAGTGGCCCTAAGATGTTCTTCAGAGAGGCGGCCCAGATTTAAGATTTTATAGATTTTTACTAAAATTTTATATTTAGTTTTTCTGTCAAAGCGCCAAAGTGTCCCTGCGCCTCGACTCTCCAGGGCCCAACAGCCCCGTGTGGCAGCTAGTTTGTGGTAAATCCATAAGATGCATATTTGTTTGGTTATAAACTCGGCTCCTTAATTTTTGGCAAATTTTGGGGCTTTTATTACCGTCACTATTATTATTACCATAATTTCAATTTTTAAATAAATTTGTGCTTAAATTGCCACAAATTAAAATGACACACCATGAACTCGGGGTTAGTTGTCCAAAATAGTTATTAAAGGAAATTAAATATGCAATGCAGTATGCGTCCATGTGAAGCCAGGGGGTCAGTGGGGGCCAGCATCTCAGTTTTTCCCCTCGGCCCCTAAACATATTTATCCAGCCCTGCTAAAAAAAAAACAGTGTGTTTTTAGCTGTAAGAAGGTACTTACAACCTGCAACTTACAATTTACAGCTTATGAGCAGCTAATTATGCACAAGAGTAATTTAAATATTTAAAATCACAGCTGTTTGAGCCCTAAATTGTTTAAATCTTTAAAAAAAATGTTTGCAAACACTTTGTAAAGACCTCCTAATGTTTGTCTCTGTATCAGTGTAAGTTATATTATTTGTTATAAGGTGTCACTTCCTTCTATCAGCAGAGTGGATTAATGTTCATACACAGGCTGTGAAGTTACTCGGGAGCATTTTTTTTTTTGTTTCACTGGTTTGTTTACCGACTTTGGGCATTTTTTTTTGTCAGCGGTGTGTGTGTGTGTTTTCTGTCAGCACTTTGGGTCAAGAACAAAGTTGAAGGCACTTCTCTCAAGTGCAATTTTGTTCCTTCTGAAATGACTTTAGTTTGTTGTAAAGAGCAGGTTCCTGTTAGAGAGGGACTCGTCTCCATGCAGCGTCGTGCTGCAGTAACAAAGCTGCAGATGTTACAGTGAAAAAGAGAAATGTAGAAAAATGTAAATGTGAGCTGAGCTGCAGGATATTTTTACTCTAACCTCCCACACCAAACCACAGACTGTGGAATGGCTCTGTGGGCAGGACTTTTACTTTTTTACTACGCAGAGGGAACACTTCCAGACGGCCCTTTAGGGATGGGCGAGCACATGGCATTGTACAAAACACAAGCACTAAAACCACAGAGTCCAGAAATACATCCTGGATTACTGTGTGTTTTTGTTCCTGTCGAGCTGTTGGCGATAACTTCCTGTGTGTTATTCAACTGTTGTATCAGCGTTAGCGTGTGTGTAAATGTGTGTGTGTGTGTGTGTGTGTGTGTGTGTGTGTGTGTATGTGTGAGTTTTATCCAGACTCCGGTTCCGCTGTAGTTCAGCTACAGTAACTTTTGAAGTATATTTAGTGTCACACAGTTCCTCTCCTGCGTGAGGATTCATGTGTGACGTGTTTACAGACTCCGGTTCCTCTGTAGTTCAGCTACAGTCATTTTGAAGTATCTGATGGTGCATATGTACAGTATATATAACTACATTCTGTCCTTCGTTCTGAGGGAACCTTTGTGCACAGAACAGGGATTTAAGACGTGCATGCCTGTGTGGTGAATGGGAAGATCAGAGGGGGAGTTGCTGCTACGGTTCGACAGCCTGTTTAACGTTCTGACTCTTTAAATGTCCTCATTAGAAGCTGTACATACTCTGCTGACATATACCTGATGTTGAGTTTCTGTCGTCAATCATTAAACAGAATAATAACAATAACTTCTCTGATTGTGTTTTTCTTTGACAAACTCTGGAATATAAAGAACCAGCAGGTGCTGATCAATGATTGGCCACGTCTGTGGAATATTTCACCTGAGTGGAAACTTACAGAAGTTTAAAAGGTGATGAGGAAGAGTGTCAGTGACGAACCTAAAGGAGTGTTACACTGATTTTACACATGAAGATCAGTTTACTTCACGTGGCTTTGAAACACTGACAGGAAACATTTTGTTGCACAATCAATACTTTTACTTAACCCTTTGAAACCTGGAGCGACATCACTTTTCTTGTCCTGCTTTCAGACGCCTTTCACAAGTATTTAAACCTTTGAACCCTCTAAACAATGATTCATGAGGTCAGTGGATATCACTTATGATAAAGAGGTTTTACAGCACAAAAAAACATGTTTGTTTCATTAACGTGTTTTAAAAGTTGGTCAAAAACATTTTGAGTAGGATGGGATTAAAATAAATAAGTAAGAATATCTTGAATATATTAGTTTGACCACTAAATATCAACACAACTTTTGGATAAATATCAAGTTGTTTTTTAAGGTCAAAGCACATCATGTTGGTTGTACTGCACTCACGCCTCACTAACTAATGCCAGAGTTGGAACAACTTGAAAAGATACATGCAAATTGTTACCTTAATTTTTTAAAGTTGAACCAGTGGACTATTTTTTAGCCTGAGCAAAATGGTGCGATTGGTTCAACTTATAAAAATTAAGGTGACCATTTGCACACGTCTGCGCGTCGTTTTAAGTCCAGCTCTGACATTATTGAGTAAATCCTACGAGTCTTTTATAATCTGACAAACTCAGTTAGTTTAGTTCAACCAACATAATTTGCTTTGATCATATTTACTTAATATTTATCCAAAAGTTGTGGATGGTCCCAACAGAAGCGTTCCTTAGCGTCCCCATGTTTGGTCCCCCCTCTGTTGGGGTACCTAGCACACAGATCTGGTACTAAAAGGTGGAGCTAGAAACCCTGCAGTCTGATTGGTCAGTAGAGGACGCTCACTCTGGTTTTATGTAACCTCTGTTCATACATCAGTAAACTACAACTATAAAATGAAAGAGAAAAAATAACTTCATTCACTGGGCCGACTGCCGGCAACTTTTAAGGTGGAACGTTAACTTGTAATGTTACTCAATGCATGAGTTGATGACGTGAATCCATCAGCACACCTTAAATTTCACTGTGACAACTTTGACCATCACTTTAGTTTTTATATGACACACACTTTTAGTAATGACTTTAAAAATATAGATTAATTTGGAGCGGATTATGTGAAGGTCATATATTCTAATCCTCACTTCCTGTGGGCTACAGCAACACTAAACCCCTGAGCTTGCCTGAGAAGGACTAAATGCACAAAGCTGCTATTTTTAAATATCCCATGGAGAGAGACTCTCACTGCAGCCTGTTCTATTTTGTTGTGAAAATGTGGGCGTGCAGCCTCGTTCTGTGGACGATAAACCAGGTGCAGACTTCCATCTGTGTCACCGCTGATGAGGAAATACAGCGAGTGCTGGACGGAGCAGTGAGTGACAACAACCCCGCCCACATTTAAGAGGACTGTCTGAACACACCGAGGGTCTAGGTACCACGTCTGAAGGCTTACTGCTGGTTCCAAAGGTGCTGGACTGAAAGGGTTTGGTAGAAACATGGTGATCTCTGTAGACGAGGACCTGCTCTGTGTGTAGATATAAACGTCTCATTCTGAGGTAACATAAACACAACCATTCTTATTTACAGCTGATTAAACACTAAAGAAAACACACTGATGATATTATTACTGTTCTTACATTATACCTGCTCTAAATCCGACACACTGGAGCTTTAATATTCCTCAGCTCAGCGTTTTCGTGGTCTAACAAGGTTTTAGAAACTTTTATTTTTCTGACCTTCCCCATATTTTCACATTGGAGCTCTTGTGTGTTGAAAGCCAGCGACACAGAAGCAAACTCTGTGGACGGCAGACGGTTACATAAGCCTTCAACACAGAGGCTGCTTCATGACTGCTGCACTGAGACAGAGTGTGTGTGAGTGTCTGAGGACGACTGACGTTCAGCTTTAACTTTGTTTCTCCTGATGGATCAATGATGTATCTCAAAATCTAATTTGAACTCATTCATTATTTTAGTTTATATTCTGCTTATTAAGTTCTGTTTAATCAGGGCTTCATGTCACAGCTGGTATCAATGTGATCCACACACATTATCTGTGTGATGATGTTTGATCTTCGGGTACGGTCAATAGAAGTAATTTCTGAATCACTCATTGTGTGTGGAGACCTGCCAGCGACTGCAGGGTGGAATTGTTTTAATACACAATGTGGTCAGGCTGCATGGAGTCTAATTTCACCTGCTGAGGTTCAGTCACGATGTGTTACACCTGCGTTAACGTGTTCCTACTGATCCAGACTGAATTTAAAGGGGAGCTACACCCAAAATACAAAACTCATACATGTTGTTCCTTTGGTCCAAGACTGTCTGAAAGTATTAATAAACCTGAAGAACATGCTCCAAAATCCAAACACTGGATCTGTGATGTTAGTCCCACTGTGACACTGAATGTGTCACAGTGGGACTAACACACCCAGATCATGTGACTCCTGCGTGTATACAGTCAATCAGACCCAAACTGGCTGAGGCGCTCTGAGCATGCTCCACAGTTTCCGCCCCGGGCTTTGACCCGGAAGTTGAACGCCATGAGAAGGTCTGTGGTTGACTATTAAAGGGATAGTGCACCCAAAAATGAAAATTCAGCCATTATCTACTCACCCATATGCCGAGGGAGGGTGCACCATCCCTTTAAATCACTGACATTACAAGTTATATGTTTTTACATGATGTATTTTATCATTGAAACACATTTCAGTGTGCCATCTGATGCTCCCACCTCCCTGCAGGTGTTGTAAAATGGTGCGCTCCGGCCATTGGTACCAACTATCTTGTCAGAAAGGGGTCAAATAATGCTCCAAAATTAGGCTAAATTTTGGCGAGAGAAAAAGGAGCATTGCCATTTCTTAAACTTATTCCTGCACACTGTGGTCCCTGAACTGTCCTGCAATTACATAAACTGAGAGTTAACAACGACACAGTCTGAACACCATGACCAATATTTGATTAAAGTATTATTTTTTCAATCATATTTTTTGATCTTACGGTGTAGTAATACCTTGCAGTAATTCCTTCAGTCAGTGTTTGATTTTACTTTTCTCTGATCATTCATTGGAGGATTGATTTGACCTGACCCCGCCCATATTCCCTGACGGCTGGCCTTGTCCTCTGCCTAAAAACTCTGAAGACCACTGAGTTAAAGGACAGGTCCACTCTGTTGTCCAGTCTCAGGTGTTCATATGAACTGTGACAGGTTTTAATTGATGTAATAATTCGTTCTGTTTCCACAGAGAAACAGGAAAATTCTGTCCAACAAAACTGACTTCAAATAAACATAGAAATAACTTTTCTGTAATCTGTGTCTTCTGTTCTGCTGAAGGTGTGACTATGAAGAAATGTTTTAATGTTACAGCCAGAAAAAACCTGTCAGCGTTCAGACAGACGCCTGAGAGCTGGAAACAACCTGGCAGTTACCTGATGTGCAGAGGGTGGTGGGTGGGTTGTGGGGGTCACCAGCAGATCTCGGCCCTTGGGCCCCTGAACAGGTCAGTCCGGCCATACTCGAGCACTGTTGCACACATGCAGTGTTTAGAGGAGTGAGGGCAGGAAATGAGGACATACTTATGTTCACTGCCTTGTAATTAGACCTCGACCAACAGGCGCGCCCTCTCAAAACACGCAAACGACCTCATTTACAGAGCTGGCACACAGCGATCATCTTCATACTTTTATTGTGATGCTTCTTCTGTCTGTCAGAGCCGACACACACAGATGGTTATTACTCTGCAGGAAAACAACAACAGACAAACAAACTAAGGCGGAGCCACCGCAGGACGCTTTACTACAACGACTAAAGATGTGGAGCAGAAAAGAGCCATGCAGCAGAACACAGAGAATATTGATCCATCTAAAATAATGTAGTCGTCATAAAGGAAGACCTTCAGGCACACGGTTATCCACGGTAACACTTCACAAATCAAAGCAAGCTGGTTATTGTTAAACTAACTCTTCAGATGCTCCTGACTCTGGAGGAGGAAACAAAACATCTAGCAGGAGAGAAGGTGGAGGAGATGAGGAGTCTGTACACCCAGGTGTCCGTCAGTGATCAGGTCTCAGGTCTCAGGGTGGACGAGTGTCGGCTGGGTTCACACTCGTGTTCTGGTTGTTGTGTCGCTTCTGAATGTGTCACTCATGTCCCACTGACTGGTTTCAGTTTCACGGAGCGATGAGACGATCGACCACGTTCACGTCTGTACGATAAATATGAAGCTACAGCTGGCAGCTGTTAGCTTAGCTTAACATAAAGACTGGAGACAGCTACAAACAGCTCTGTCCAAACATAACAAATCTGTCTATCAGCTCCGCTAAAGCTCAACAGTTATCATGTTGTTTTGCACTCATTGGTTATGTCTTTATCGTTACACTCCAAGACATTTGAGCTGTGAGACAACTTTTGTGCTTAAAGGGATAGTGCACCCAAAAATGAAAATTCAGCCATTATCTACTCACCCATATGCCGAGAGAGGCTCAGGTGAAGTTTTAGAGTCCTCACATCACTTGCGGAGGACAACTTTTTATGTCGGGGCTTCAGGACACTTGGATCACTACGGACGAGCAGTATGGAGATATTTTGTGGTTTCAATGATGTGTTTTTGGACGTTTGAATCTGGGGCGCCGTCAGCCTCCATTAGGTGGAGTTGTGTTGCTACCTCCTCTCCCCTTGGATCTCTGCAAGTGATGTGAGGACTCTAAAACTTCACCTGAGCCTCCCTCGGCATATGGGTGAGTAGATAATGGCTGAATTTACATTTTTGGTGCACTATCCCTTTAATACAACACAGTTCAAGAATGATGTCGTTCCAATTTAATTA